CTGGTATCTGATACTGATTTGATTTAGGTTTATTCTTAACTGATAAATAAAACCTGCTTTCATAATTTTCGAAAGCATCCTTATGTCACTTTTACTGTCAACAAACCTTTGCACAGTACTACATATGACAATGTGAGATCGACATGATGCTACTTGCACCACGACCTGATGATCTTCAACAGTAACACCTGCAGGCTCGACAGTTGCTGCAAGAACCTTATCAAGTAATTTGCATACATTACTCATCCAGGAGACTTGATACCTGCTGAGACTCGCTTTCCAGGGAATCAAACGTGTCTTTCCAGCCTCCTATCAGCTCCATATCAATGCTTTTACCTGCACTGCACGTAAACTGAGAGGTAATGTCTAGTTTGATGGTGTACTGTAATGAGACTGACCTGAACGCAGCCAGGCGGCTGGAGATGACCCCGGCATACAGGTGGTAGATTACGCCGACTCCAAGGAGGCAGAACACCGCCACACCGAGCGGAGACAGCCGGATACCCATCGGAGCCATGGCCGCGGGAGGTTTTTGTTAGCAACTAAAAAAGAACCAAACTTGGATCCCAGCAGTGTCCGCAGTGAACCAGGACAGAGAGGTGTAGCGAGCTGACGTGGCTGCCGGAGCAGCAGCAGGGTCCCGGAAAGTCCGCTACCTTTCTGCTTCACACCTGTCGGGGAGGTTTGAGAGAAACACGTCGACTGTCACACAGCAAACAGCCCGAACACGGTTCAACCAAGCTGTCAAATTATCCCGGGAACACACGGGCTAACTCTCATCAGTTGGCTAGCCGCTTAGCATCCTCCGACGTCCGTCTGACGAAATTCACCGAATAACGAGCCGTGGCTTCTGTCCGCAACGACATTCCGTTTCTCGGACAGCTCGGCAGCTCCTTATTCTCGCTGTTAACTCGGTGAAACGAGCCGAGTGTTCGCTGGTGTCGACGGCAGAGCAGAACAATCACATCTCTGTTCAGTCATTTTTCCTCTCTACGTACTCAAAGGTCACCGCCGCTCACTCCTCTTCCGGGTTCACGCTGCTGTCGTCATCAGTCTGGGCTGACGCTACTTTTATCGGTAATTGTTTTAAAGTTGAATTATATCCTCATTAATATCATAAATAAATACTCATATAGCCTATCGTTCTTGTTAAACCTTCACTGCAAGCCATTGTTTACAATTAGAAAAACAAACATTTACTGTATTTCTTCCCATTTATTGTCTTTACACTGTAAAAAAACAAACAACCCCCTCAAAAAAACAGGTTTAACTACCTTTTAAAGACAATTTATTATTTTTATTTTACAGATTTCCATTGTTTGTTTTAAAACATCTTATTTTATATATATTAGCTGTTACTTAAAAAATAACTTGTTTATATTGAGGATTGAAATATTGTAAATAATTTTAGAAATATATTGTACATGCTATTCTACAGTGTCATTTTTCATCCTTGTTATTATTTGTGCTTTTGATGGGCTTTTGCACCTTTTTTCTGTACAGAATTCAAGATTTATTCACTTGTAATGTTATATTTTGTTTTCTGTTTTTTTAAGCTGCCAGAGTACAGAATACAGAGTCTTAATAAGCGCTTCGGCATGTAACTGATTTTGAATGTCACTTCTGACCAACACTTGGCTGAGTCACGACACATTTAGTCTCTTATTCTGCACTACAGAATGGTCTGGCAGCACTTCATTATCATTCTGCGACAGGAAAAAAACACTTTGGCTTGTTTGCATTTCTTTGTATTAGACAGAGTGAAGCAACGACTGCAGCAGGTGGTAGATGTTTTCTATAGTGAAGAGGATTTTGAGAACAGTGAGACACAGATAGCAGAAGGGGTGGAAAATTTCGCCTGTATAGTTGTCAAAAACAGGAAAAATTAGCTGCAGACACCAAAACCACATATTGTACCAGCTGTAGAAATGTTTATTTCTGTAGTACAGTTGGGACACTTTAACACGGAAGTCTATGATGATTGACTCACTTTTGGAGTCAGCCTCAAAAGGGTATTTGAGGAAATGCAGTGAGCTTTAATTTTGGGAGAATGATATCAGATCAAAAAAAAAAAACTTGGACATACAGTATAATAAAGCTCCCTGTATGTTACATTTGGTTTGCATCCCAAGTAATGATCACCAAGGGCAGAAACTGTCACATGCAACACAAACAAGTACATGATGAGCAGCGTTTTAGAGTCAGCAGAATTACAAGTCCTTGAAACATGACCATGTTTTATAGAAACTTTGTTACCAAAGGATGAAGTGAGGCACCACAATTATAAGAAGATGCAGCATCAGTTTCTCCACAATGGCTTTTTCGTTTCCGCTGAGACTTGGTAGAAAGCTTTTCTTCTTTGCTGAACCTATCAGTGTTTCAGATGTCCGCTGCGTTTCCTGTTTCCACACAGCCTTTTCTCTTCATTTCAAACTATCAGTAGTGAGATGCAGCCACAACATCACCTCCTCCTCAGATTCCCTCTTCCTCCTCATCTTTTCTGGCCAGCTGGCAGTGATCCCACAGTCTTCAATTTTGAGCTGCCTGCTGGTCGTCTGCACATCTATGAGTCTTCGTCCTCGCGCTCTCCTCTTTGTTGTCAGGGTTACAGAGATCTGGGAAAACGCTGTCCCTTAATGTGATGTCGCTTTAATCTCCTCACTTCCCCTCTCCTCCTCCTCCTCCTTGCTCAGTTGGCCAGTTGACAGAGATATGATAAGGCTTCAGCTCCTCCTCAGATACTGAGTCAGGTGCTCGGCTCATGAGGTCATGACCACGGAACGATTTGGGGAAGGCGATAACATCACGGATGCTCGGAGCCCCGACCATGATGGAGACCAGTCGATCTAAACCTAGAAAAGCACGAGGAAGTCGTAAGACAACGTGATAAATGAAATAATTTCCACCTTTTTTCAGCTCACTGTAATGTTTGTTTTGAATTTCTAGCAGTATTTTTTACGTATTTAATTCCAACTATGTTTGCTCCACTTAAAGCACCACATTTTCATAAGTAAGTTGCAGAGCATCGAGGGGTGGTGGTTCACTCATTCCTTGACTCCCTCCCAGTTCCTAAATAGGACCAATACGATTTTGAGCAGGAACAGGACTGCAAAAACTAGCATGAATGGTTTACAAAAAAACAAACAAATCCTTAAAAAATGGCAGCTAGGGCGCCAGAAAAACATGTTGAAAAACACTGAAATACTGTAACATTGAATGTTTGTTTTTTTAAAAAAACATGACAATAAGGGTAAATATTTGTAAAATTAAAAATGAAATGAAAATTGTGTTTTCAGTTGTTTAAAATACAGTAAAAATATTGTAATTTTACAGTCACACATTGTAAATGATCAAATTCTGTTTTTTTTACTGTAAACATGTAAATTGTGATTTTACAAGTTTTTATCTGTAGTTTAACAAATCAGGAAAAATCTGTGTAATAACAATGAACTGCACAAAAAAATGGCAGTAGAAAACTGATACAATTTTTTTACAACTCGGCTCACAGGCTGACAAAAATGATAAATCCTAAACTCTTCGATCATCATCATCTTTTTACTGTCATAAACCTCGATCTCTGTCCTTACAGAGGTGTGTTTTCCTTCATTCTTAATGGGAAGTGGATTTCACAGGGCGTTAAACAGTCTGCTAATGACTTATGGTATGCACATGAGGGTTAAAGAACAGTATTAACGCTGTACACTAACTCAGGGAAAACCTAAGCATGCTGCAGGCAGGTGCAGAGTGGATCTTACCCAGAGCAATGCCACCATGAGGCGGCGCTCCTGAAGCCAGAGCCTCCAGCAGGTGGGAGAGAAGGCTGGGATCCTCCTGTAGTAAAAATAAGTTAAAACTATTTACAACCAGTCATTTATCTTCTAAATTTAAGTATCAATACATATCTAATGGTAACATCCAGATCGAGAAAAACAGACTGTTATGAACACATCACTGACCTTGAGGATATTCTTTAAGACATGAAGCTGCTCTGAGGCGTTGTGGATGCGAATGGAGCCTCCTCCGATCTCAGATCCGTTCAACACCAGGTCATAGTGCTGACCGCGAACCTGTGAAGTCCAAAGCACATCACATTAAACTTGATGCATCTCACAGCAGTTTTTTATTTCTACACACCTAAACATTAATTTTACAGGCACTATATGAGCACCTTGTGTGGCTCTGTGTAGAGTAGGTGAGCGTCCTCTGGCAGTGCGGCTGTAAACGGATGATGTGCTGACTCCAGCTCCTCTGGATCATCTTCTTTCGGCACAAAGAGAGGGAAGTCCACGACCCACAGGAAGTGGAAGGCCGAAGCGTCGCGGATTGAAACGCCATGAGACTCCAGCAGCTGAGCAGACTGCAGGCGAAGATTACCCAGCAACGGACGCTGTGAGCAGAGAGACAAATGAGGAACATGTATTCAGCGTTATCTTTCCTGGCTGTGTTTTCCCACCTTCTCCCCTTCATCAGTCTGATCTAATCTAAATGTCTCACCACAGTGTGGAGGGAGCCGGCAGCTATCAGCAGCAGGTCTCCTGGTTTGGCTTCAGTTCTCTTCAGCAGATTATCTGTGACGGAGGCTGACAGCAGCTTCTTCAGGGGAGACTTTAAAGTCCCGTCTGCTCTGAGCAGCACCAGGCTCAGCTCCTTCAGACAAAATGTACACGCAGGAATATTAAAATACACTCCTGCAATGAAACTTTGCAAAGTTTCTATGGCTCCATTTGTGTTCAGGTTGTATTAGAGAAGTGCTGCTGATCCACAGCATCTGGTACAGGGTAGTAAGTGGTGTTGATATGGGATTGCTTAACTCTTGTTTTAACTCTGCAGCTTATATAGTCGTTAAAATGCATATTAGAAGGAAAAACTTTAATGACACTGTAACTGCACACACATGGGACATACAATCACAGGACAGACATGAAGGTAAAGGAAGAGAAAAAGAAGGAATGATAAACCTACCTGCCCAAACTGAGTCTTGGCTGTTTGTTTCAGTTCTTCCAACTCTTTCCCAGTGAGAACTTTCTGTGATCAGACACCAGACACAGGGCATCATTTGAGACAGACAAATGTAAGACAATCAAAACACAGTTTACATTCACTCTTATTGTCTCCTTATTGTACCAAACCAAGAACTGTATGCATGTTCTACAGCACTTTCTGCCAGAGGAAAAGGTTTTGTTCTTACTGCTCCACTGGGGACACAGATGGCCTGAACGGAGCCTCCTGGTTGGCTGAGAGCTGATCGGAGGAATTCAATTTCCGTGGATGAGAAAACATCACTGAGGTCTATCAGCTGGACGGACAAGAACAAAGACAAAGATTCAGACGAGGAGACAGACATGTAGAAAAAAAGATAAACATCTTCGATACAGGATCATTTTCGGCCTTCAACGGCAATAGTTTTTAGTTTACAGTCAGGTTGTTTGAATGAAAACAGCCCCATTATTCCAGAGACAGTAGTAATGGTATTACAGTCAACAAAAGCTTCAGTTCTGGCTGTTTTACCCTCAGAAAAAAAGCTTAACTAGGAAGCCACTTTAAGGGTTCAAAATCCCGAGAAATATAAATCAGACAGCCATGAAATTAGACGAGGACACACAAAATTATTTCCAGCACATCCAAAGAAATCAAATGGTTAGAGCAGAGGCCAAATATTTAATTACTGGCCCTTGACAATGGAAGAAAGTGTCCAATTTTCAAACGAGGGTTGTATTGGGGTCCTACAAAACCTCCAATAAGTGCATATATATGGATGTATCCATTTCTTACTAAAAATACAGCCTTTGGTCGACACTTCACCAACTTTTGAGGCCTCTAACATCAGTAGAATTTGATTTGTGGTAAGTATTGTAAGCCAAGGTTCTAGTTTTTGTTATTTTCACATGACAAAATGGTGATGTAGACTCATTAGTTGGACCACCAAAACTGTTGTGCATAGAAATCTATGTATTGACATCATATGTGCAAAGTTCCAAGTTGCTTCCATGTTGTCTTCATGTTGAAATTAAGCAACATATGAGGATATACTATAATGTACAAGAAACAAATATACTAGAAACAAAAACTGAACAGAGAAACTGATGATAATTCAACCACTGAAAACTATTTTGTCTGTGTCCTCACCAAATTTAAGTTATATTTCATGAGATACTGAAGTCCTAAAATGGTTTCCCTGTGAAGATGTTTTTTGAGTTTAAAAATACTAAATTCTAGTCTACAAACATATGGGACTCTCAAAATTCTGCTAATATTTTACAGAAATTAGCTTTTGGTCCCAAATAACAAAAGAAAGTAAACTCTACAGTAACTCTTAAAGTCTAAAAGTAAAGTTAAAAGTAAACTCTGAATTCCATCTGAATTGGCACAAACTGACCCATCATTGAGCCTGAATAAACTGCTCACCTTCATGCTGAACCTGGTGTCAGGTTTGTCCACACCATAGTCCCGCATGGCCTCTTCATGTTTCATAACCTGGAAAGGAACCTTAATGGGACCTTTCTCTGCAGGCCAGGAGTGATGCAGCAAACCCTCCACCAGGGATATGATACCTGCCTGGTCCACAAAAGACATCTCTATGTCCACCTGGGAGAGACAAGGACAGGATCTGTCAGTTTCAACCAAACCATTCAGATAACACATTGATTCAGGCTGTTTAACTAAAGTCCAGGTCCAAAGGGATGAAAAACAGGAAAATACTGATCTAGTTTATCAGTTAGTTGAAGTGAACATGCAGAAGCAATAAAAAAAGCAGAAAGTCATTTGAAACCAAAACCACTGCCATGAATCGTCCATATTTACGTTTTCAATGACATATGTATTCCCATATGGTCTAGCGGTTAGGATTCCTGGTTTTCACCCAGGCGGCCTGGGTTCAACTCCCGGTATGGGAACAAACATTTACCTAACTGTGATGGTGAGCCCTGACTGTTCTGCACAAAATACATTGCCATGTGGTTTATACATATGCAAAAACAACAACAACAAAAAAAGCAGCATGAGCCTCTGTCATACTTGGGTGAACTCAGGCTGCCTGTCTGGTTTGGAGCCTTCATCTCTGTAGCAGCGAGCTATCTGGAAGTACCTGCAACAGATGAGCAAGACAAACACTGTTGGTCATTACAGCCTGCTTTGGTTGATCTTCTGCTTACTCATGAAACATTTAAATCAGAAACAGCAAAACACAAACTCATGTGACCAGTTTACAGCTTTACTTGTGTTCTAGTTAGACCAGCAGCTAATCTTAGTTTACAGTCGATGTCGTATAACTTTACGACTTTATGACCCCTCTATTAATGTTACTGTTACACTGCTTTAACTTGGATCGGATTGTTCCTTATCTTGAAGGAAGGATGGAAAGATTTGCATTGACTCTCATCACTGCATCAATGTTGTTTTCCATGCATTTGTACTTTGTACTTTATTTTGAAAGTGTAAGCATTACAAAGCAAAAACAAAAGTCACGTGATGAAGTTGTGATGCAAGAATTGAATAAAACAAAGCAGCCAGATCAGTGGAGAAGAAGCTGTTTTCCCACCACAAGAGGGCAGAGCTCCATGTCAGAGTGATGTAACTGCACACAGCTGGTATTATGGAAAAGACACAGCTCTTCAGAAAGTCTACAAACACCAGCCACGGTCTGCTGTTGGTCATTTGTTTAATTGTGCAAGTCTTAAGAGAAGATAATAGACAGAAGATAACTCTTTACAAATCCCTCAGCAGGAAGACTTGCAGAGTTACAGCAGCAAAAGGAAAGACCAAAAATGCAGATATATCAGGAGAAAAATAAAATAAAGAAGTAATATACAATTGACATTGTACAGTTTTTCTACATGTAGAAAGTCAAGATATTGCACAGAGTCCTCTGAATGTCAAAAATAATAATATTGCACATTCTACATGTAGAAAAACACTGACATTGGACAGGTTCTTCCATGAGTAAAAATATTAATACAGAGATTTTTATATGTTCATAATGCATAGGGTTGAATGCTTGCATGTCCTCTGTTGTTTTTCAAATTCAACAAAACCATAGGACCGTGGTTGTGTAGCATTATTTGTAATTGACACTGAATTGTATGGACAGGATGCAGATAAGAATAGGATCAGTGGCATAAACACAACACTACTGCTGGTTGTTCCTGCTGGTTAATGACTTTAAGGCAATGATATTTTACATTTTATGATACTTACTGACTCCTCCTGAGGGAAACATCTGTCTCTTGAGCCACTAAATGCTCCACGACGTTCACCTACTGTCAGATATCAAGCAGCGAGTGTAGTGTAGCTACACCCACCTGTCGACACCAGCCACCATCAGAAGCTGTTTGAACTGCTGTGGACTCTGAGGTAGAGAGTAAAACAGACCCGGCTCTCTGGATGGAACCACAAACTCCTTGGCTCCCTAAAACACACACAGGTATACAAAATCTGAGGCTCGTTTAAATATCAGGCATGATATTTGATAGATGTGTGATGAAGATACTGTGTTCAACTTAAGAAACAAAAAGACTTACATTTAAAAAAAATAAAAATAAAATCAAGTGACTATGTGGAGACAGGCTATAAAATACTATCTAAACCATAAAGAAATTATATTGATGATTACCTAGAAATAGTATTTTTTCTTAAACCTTGAAGATAAATTCTTCCTTTTTGTGCATGTTTGTGCATAACATGGTAAATGTAGCTTTGATTCAGTGATATTGAAATCCCTAAAAGCTCCATGAAGAATCTTACCCCTGGTGTTCTTTTGAACAAAGTAGGCGTTTCCACGTCCACAAAATCTAAAAATTTAAGAAAAGAACACATCAGGTCACATTACAGGAAGAGGAGGCAGGATTCTGTTTCTGGTTTCAGGCAGCAACAACAGTAACAGTACACTTGTAAATGTTGTTCAAACTGAAAAAAATAGCCACAACCATGAAAAAAGACTTAGCCAGCAGGGGAAATGATTCTTATTCTCCGTACCGTGCACATTACAGAGATATTCTCTCATCTTCATCACCAGCTGAGATCTCAGTCTGAGGTTTTTCTGCATCTGCGACGACCTCAGGTCCAGGTAACGATACTGCATCCGCAAAGCCTCTGATTTCTGTACAGTCAACCAAACGAGTCTAGATTATTAACTACTAATAAAGAACATGGGCTCAACAGTACACATACACGTGACATGAATCACTTACTTTGACAAAGTCTTTAATTTCAAAAGACAGCTTCTGGCAGACATTAAAAACCTGCACATCTTCAGCCAGAACTTCTATTTCTCCTGTTGGCATCCCCTGATTGGAACACAGCAAAATAAGAAGAAAGGACGTCAGATTGAGAAGTAGCCGCTTCAGAGATTTGCTGAACATCTAAGGTCCGAGGATATATTTCAACAATCCTTTAAAATACCCTGAAAGTTCTCATTTACACTGCTAAGGACACTTAAATGAACTCATAGAACGCGAATCCATTGATTTAACCTCAGCTAAGTAACACACAGTCCCATATGGTCTAGCGGTTAGGATTCCTGGTTTTCACCCAGGCGGCCCGGGTTCGACTCCCGGTATGGGAACTGATCTTTATGCAACTTTCCTGCAATCAAATCGATGGCTGTCTCAGATTCAGACATCCTGGGTGTCATCTGAACAAGTTCAGGAACCGAATCCTGTTATCTCACTCATATGTGTCGCAAAACAACTCCATTACTCAAAGTAGTTTTACCGTGTTTGAGCAAAATGGTTAGGTGAGCTGGTGTGCTCGAGCTGCAGCATGTGGGAGAGGATCAGTGTAGAGTAACACTGGGGCTTCATGGAGCAGCACATTTTAGAGTAAAGTCATGGTATACAGTCATATTTAAGCCATTTTAAGGCAGGAATAGATTATGTTAATTAAAACGGCTTCAGTGACAGGTGAGAGACTCCAAAATACCCTCAAAGTTCCTATTTACATTCTTGCAGAGAAAATAATTTTTAAAATGAGTCAGATGAGAGCTGAAATGTTTTCTAACAGATTTATAACTGCATTCAATAGCTGAGGTTCACATTTGTTGTGTTGGAGGACACAAAGAAACAAAGTCATTCTTGATAAACAATACATGCAAACAGTGCATCACACAAAGTACATAAATTGTGGCAACTGTAGCTCCAACATAAAACAATAATAATAACTGGAGCGGGAAAAAAAATCCATTACATCCACAGTCCAAACAGTCTTCAATAAATGCTTTCTTGTTTAAATAACAAAATTGTTTTAACAGTGCTGAATGTCCTCATATGAATAAGATGAGCTGTCTATTAGTGTGTATAAAAATCACACAAACCTTGTTCTCTTGTCCCGCTGGTCGTTTTCTGACTGTTCCTGTAACCTTGACGACAGACTCGACTGTCAGATCACACAGCACTGCTTTCAAGTTACTTGCAGACTTAAAAAAGACGGAGAAAATTGTTACGTTTCTGTGATTTAAGCACAGATTTTACATTATGACCCTGTGCTTTGTGAGCAGTAAATTCAACTTGTCTGTGTTGAAAATAGTTTTATGCTACTATCAATAGCTTTGTATCAGTATCATTAACAATTAGTCATTCGTCATGATAAAAATAATAACAGAGTGTGTTGTGGTTTTTAATTGTTTTCTTCCATACTTGTTCCTGAGGAATTAGAACTTGTGTCAAGCCGCTGAAATCTCGCAGGATGACAAACAGGTCTTGTCTGTTGGAGACAAACACATTGTTAATGTACAATTTTGCAAGAAGTTCAGTGGGAGAATGACAGTTAAAAAGAGCTTGAGCCCTGACATTAATGTAAAAGGAACTACTGACTTTCTACTCTCATCAAACAAACAACTACAGGGCATGAACATGCTGTGTGCAGTTTACTGGAACTACTGAACTTTTAGCCATGTCAGTGGTCCAACACTCAGCACTCAGTGGTCGTCTCAACTACAATATCTCCAATATGGGACGGATTGGGGGCTGCAAGGTGGATTGGCGGTTAGCGCCGTTGCCTCGCAGCAAGAAGGTCGTCAGTTTGCGTCCTGGTGAGGACACTCGGGATTTTTCTGCACGGAGTTTGCATGTTCTCCCCGTGCAGCGTGGGTTCTCTCCAGGTTCTCTGGCTTCCTCCCACACAGTCCAAAACCATGTTGAGGTTAATTGGTGATTCTAAATTGTCCGTAGGTGTGAATGTGAGTGTGCTTGGTTGTCTGTCTCTAAGTGTAGCCCTGCGATAGACTGGTGACCTGTCCAGGGTGTCCCCTGCCTTCACCCTAAGTCGGCTGGGATAGACTCCAGCCCCCCCATGACCCTAGTGAGGATTAAGCGGTGTATAGATGATGGATGGATGGATGGATGGATGGGGCGGATTGAATTTTTCCCGGAGGATGATTCTTATGACTATATTTATAAACATGTTATAATGTCCCACATCCAAAGATGACACCTTTAAACATCTTGCTCAGAAATACTCACTACCGTGTTTGCATGTTTACGAGCAAAACTGAGGGGCAGAAATGAGAAAATATTTGACCATTTCACTTTTTAAAAAATGACTAATTTGTTCATCAGAATGGTGCAGATCATTGATTTCAGTTGAATAATGGACTCATCTATGTTGTTTATGGTTCAGCAGCAGCACACAAGCACCAGTAATACCTGAGATACTGGACCCAACCACACAGAGTGACTTTCTCTCCCACATGATCTGATCGGAGTTCTCCACAGGTGTGACTCCTGAAGGACAAACTGCTGGGACCTGATGACAAAACAGAGTTAGGAAGGTTACATCTGGAGTAGTTGGTCGTCTTTTCCAATTACTTAAATACGTGTCGGCTTTAACTGGTGGTACTAAAAGCTGCAATGAAGATGACAGATTTTTGATGTGGACAATTTTGGTCTTTTTTAAAATTATAGTCAACATGTAAATTAATACTTCTTTCTGTGATTTCACCAAATACTATCCATAACTTAACAAAACAGGAAAAAGCTGTAAAATAATAGTGAAAAAACATTTACACTATTTTTCAGTCTTTAATATATACATACAAATGTACAAATAGCTGCAAAAATAATTACATCTTTTCTGATTTAAATGCAGTAAAATTGGAATTTTGTAGTCACACATTGTGAATGAACACATTACCATTCATGAACATACAGTTTTGATCTGTTCACAGCCAGCATGTAAACTGATGTTTCTTTCCTGTGATTTTACTAGATATTATCTGTAAATGACCAAAAGAGGGAAAACCTGTATAATAGCAGTAAACTGTTCATAAAAACAACTTTCAAAACTGTTTTCAAAAGTTCACATTTTCCCAGTGCAGCTGCCCCATCCAGCAGTCAGAGGTCAGTCAGTACCTGAGGAGGCGGCGGCTCTGTTCAGTCCCGCTGAGCAGCTCACATGTCTGGGCTGAGCTCTGAGCGGCAGCCGTCCTTGACTGGAGGTCGAAGCGGAGCTCGGACACCGAACACGGACAGCTCTGACTCCGTTAAACAGCCTCTGGAGCACAAGCCTGCCGTTTGCTGCCATCTCTTATACACACAACGTGAAGCTCCGGTTATTTAACGCTATTCCGTCATGACTGTGTCCCGGCAGCGCGTGCGGCTGTTCGTAGAAAACAAACGACTGCTGTTCTCACCAACACCGTCAGAAAACGATTCCCGCCTGGTGTGACGCCTTCATTTACCCGTGGAGGACAAACACTGACAGCCGGACACTCTTCACCAGGTCAGGAAACCTGTGCAGCCGCCGTCCCTGCTTCTGCTCCCGGTTCCGCGTCTCGGTCAATCCCGGTCCTGACTGTGTCCTAAGCCATGTGGATGAGCTGCTGTGAGTCGCTGCTCATCAGCTCGACAATCATCCGGTTGTTTAGGAGTCTGAGCTGCGTGAGGTGTGACGTCATGACGCTAAGGCCAAAGTAGTCGATGTGAGACATGATCGATTTAAAGACCCCCTCTGTTGATAATCCAACTTCTTTCTTTTCTTTTTCTTTCTTTCTTTTTTTTTTTTCCTTAAACGGTTAACATGCAATTTAATATTTTTTTCTGCGATTTCATTTGTTATTATTTTTAATTTAACAAAATTGGGAAGATTTGTAAAATACTAGTTACCATAATAATAATATTTAAAAATTTTCAGTCTTTAGTATGTACATACATACATACAAGTATCAATAAAATATTGATATTTTTGATATATTCTACTATTTTATAGTCACACAATATAAAAGAACAAACTAGGACGTTATTTAATTTTGTTTTTTGTTTTTTGTTTTTTACAGTCAATGCATAAATTCAAACTTTTTTTCTGTGATAATCCAACATTTTGCTTTCTTGATACGTCCATATGGTGTTTTTATATGATGGAAGACATATCATGAGAAAAAATAATCAGTAAACCCCATGATTGAGCACTTCCACCTTGAAACTGAATGACAATCTTAAAAACAGGGATTCACAGTTTCGTAGGTAAGAACCCAAGGAACCAGTCCTGTCAACGCACAGGATACAGCTTTATCTATCCCATCTGTATATTTTATACTGTATATGTATGTACAATGCAAAATAAACTGCCTGACCTAAATTTTAAGGCTGAACCTGTAAAATTACCTGACTAATTTAAAAATGTGTGTTAGCACCTACAAAATTGCACATTAAAATGAATGCAAATGTTCCCAACAAATAAGTATATTGGCAACAGTGAGAAAGAAGAGCTCCTAGTAACCTCATATCAGACCCATGTTGTTTCAGAGCTGAAAATACCTGCAGCAAGGTACAGGGAGATTGTTATTAACATCATTATTGTTATTGTCATTAAAACTCTGGTCCTGGTGGGGGTGCTAATGTACTTGCAATATAACTGCCGGCAGCCCAGTTGAGAAGGAGAACACACTGAACTATATGTTATACATTAAAAAATGATTTAAGCAATTTCTTTTGGATCAAACAGAGTGAAGAATAGTTACCAGATTAAGAACTGGACATACTGTGCCAAAGGGTGATTTAAAGAGTTGAAAGATGTCCAAGTGCAACTGTGATCAGTGTCAACAATGAGACACTGTGCATTACGTTTTATTCCACTATGATCAATCTTCAGAGGAAAGGTGGGAAATCGTTTCAAAGAACTACTGTTAAATGGAGCAGGGTGCACTTACAACTGTGATGTAGCATCTAAGGAGAAGAGTATTAACTGAATAGACTCTGCTTGAGATTCTGTCTGATATTATGCGTCTGCAGTACAGGAGGCTGCAGATTCAGGACCACACCTCCAGGACCTTTGTTTTTACGACAGCCACATCGACTGAAGAGTGTGTCCACATTCCACCGAAATACTCCTCTTTGTCCAAGTACTTACACATTTGAAGGTTTAGTTTACCCAAATAGTACTTTCTAACTAATGAGTTATAGTTAGTATAGATGTCTTCCATCCAAAATAATCCTCTGTCCTGAACTCAACCTGGTTGTTCTGAGTTACATGTTAAGCAAGTGGTGCAATTAACATAATTGGGCCATCATCAGGCAAAATAATGATGCAATCATATGCTGTGGCCTGATTTAAGAGGTTGAACCAAGTCAAGACACAAACACACTGGCAAAACTTTGCTGTTCAATTTAATTTTCAATTAATTTTTATTTATATAGCCCCAATTCACAATATGTGTCATTTCATAGTACTTCACATAGTAAGGTGAAGACCTTACAAATTTTAACTAAAGAACAGAAAACCCAACAATCCAAAGTTGTTATTTGGATTTCCTATGAGAAAGCAGTCGCTGGCAGTGGGAAGGAACCAAAAAAAACCCAGAAAAAAGAAACCTCTTAACGGGGAGGGGAAAAAACTCCAATAGAACCAGACTCAGGGAAGGTGACCATCTGCCTCAACCAGCTGGGTGGTGTTCACCTGAAGACTGCTGGGAATTGTTTTTATTGTTAATCAAACCTTTTTTTTCTCACATTTAGTATTCATGCTGTAATTGTTGATCTTTCTCCTCTTAAGAGGTTTTATTCCTAAAAAAAAAAATTACTTTATCTGATTTAACTGCGTCACTCCCTCACCCTGCCTCAAGCGCCTGACGTTTGAATAGCAGCTCTGCTGCAGACTTTGGTGCCACTTTCAGTATTAATAATTTTACTGTGAGAGTGTGAATGAAAGTGTGAACCAGTTTATTATTATGTGCTCTACAAATCTAGAGCTCTACTCTCAACTTCATCCTGCTCTAACAGGTTTGGGCGATGCTTTCACTGGGGCAATCCTGACAATAGTCACAACCAGAGAATGTTTGTTTGATAGCTTAGGAAGTCAACAAGCTGTATAACTAATAAATTACTGTAGCTTAATCTCTGTCAACCTGGAGTTGAACCCAAATCACCGTGAGTTGGCTTCATCTTATCATGTCAGCATGAGTTTGCATCATTTTATCATTCTGTCATTGTTCAATGAGGGGAGCTGGTGCTAACATTTGCTTTTAAAGCCAACAACAGTGATGAGGCGAATATCGTTGTGCATTCCGAAATCAAAGTTAACACAATTTTAAAAAACAAGATCAGTATTCACAATATGCATATATGCACTACCGTATATATGTATACAGTCTGCACAAAGGTGTTGCTATATATATATGTCTATTATACACATTTTGTATTGTGTATATATGCAAATAAAGTTTCATCCAACTCCAACAGCATGTCAGCAGAGGACTGAACTTGCACAGAACTGCTAATATTCTTTGGATATCTATACAGAAAATCTGTTCATATGCTAATTTTGTATAAATGTCTTGAAATAATAGCTGAAAGTCACTTTCTCTTTTTTGCTCTTCTTTTGCAGCCTCCTCTCCTGTGGATACTGTTTACTTGACTCTGTCACGTTAAATGCAATTGGATCTTTATGACCAGTAGAAACAGACTTCTCCACAAATCTGCAGATGAAACAACTTGAGGAAGAACAAATATGAAAGGGGAACTGGAGCAAACTGCACTGACTAACATTTCAACACTACTGTGTCTCCATCAGAATAGACAAAGACATGAATCAAACATGTTTGATCAAACTAAACAAAGTGTGCAACTTTTACTGTCTGTTTGGACGATCAGTTTAAACTACAGACCTTGTACTTCGGTGACATGCCATCAGATAAGG